GGCGAGATATTGAAACTTTTCCTTCATGACATTTGTTGTCATGACATCCAGTGAGCGTATGACGTTTGACATAATCGGACGACATTTCACCGCTAATATGAGTAATTTTTTATTTATTTATTTTTGTTATCACTTACATTATGGCCATTTGACTTATAGCCGTGTCCAGTGTTTCCATACATTGAGTTATTTGTTATTTTCACAAAATCAAAACTGACCACCACCAATAGATTTTCCAAAAGGATTCTACTTCGTTGAATAAACTGAGCAAGGTGCTTTGAGCCTTGTATTATTACTATGAATTAGGCTACTACTACTACTACCATCTTGTGCCCTGCAATAATCATTTACTCAAACTCGTTTTACAAGATAAAGGGGGAAAAAAAATCAGCCAAACATATCGGCAAAAAAATCTGCATAATATATCGGCCATCGCCTGCCCTGATTTCTAAATATCGGCATCGGCCAGAGAAAAACCCTTGTCGGTCGACTTCTAGTGCTGACACTTAAATTAATTGTTTTGCCACTTTTGCACTTTATTTTTTCAAAAAATGTATGTTCATTTGTTATGCATGTTATGTATGTTTATTAAAAACAAGTTTTGTAATAACCAATTGTTCCGGCCCGGACCTTTGACACTGATGAAAATTCAGATTTGGACCTTTGAGTATAGACTTTGAGAACCCCTGATATAGAGGAAAAACGTCTCGGTTACGCATGGTAACCCTCGTTCCCTGAAGGAGGGAACTGCATTGGCTCATTTAGTTTACACTCAAAGTAGATTGGTCTCTCTAAGCGAGATCCCAATTCGTCGGTCATCCGACGTGACGTCGAGAGTGACCGACTGAAAGGGAACATCTTAATTTTACTCAGGGGTACAAACAAAGCAAATATATCTAGGGTTAAATATCAGCAACTTTCATTCAGGAAATCTAATTATGTTGGCAAATGCTTAGTTTACATGGACTGCTGTAATCTGACTATATAAAATAGTGCTAAAGCATTAGATTACTAAAAAATTACAATTCTGTCATGTAGTTTCAAACCTCTATGACTTTTGTCTGTGGAACATACAAGGAGATATTTTTACAATCAAAAAAGTAAATATATATCAAAATAAATAAATAAAAGTCCAGTCATATTACCATCTACATATATGAGTGCATTATTGCATTAAATGGCTCTACATGAAGAAGAAACACACACTGTCACTTTAAAAATGTGACTATTAGAAAAGGTCAGAAATTTTAATTTATCCAGTGTTCAGATGATTGTGTGATGCTCTGGAGTTTGACATTCATTTCGAGAGCTGGCAAATGAGGTTTTAAGGTCTGGTCTACATCTGACATGGCTTCTAACCTGGCTCTGAACCAGTTATTGAGCATGAATGAGAAAAGCAGCTGTTTATAACCACCAGAGCAGCCGTTTTCCAGAGCCTGTAATAGAACAGAGCAGTGATTTAGCTGGGAAATGGGCACAGAGTTATTCATAGAGCTGCTCTTCTTCAGCAATGAGTGTGTCCTCGACACTACCAAACCTCTGTGTCAACTGCTCACCACATACGTTCAAAAATGTAGGCCTAGTGTTAAAGGGATAGTTCACCCAAAAATGTAAATTCTGTCATTAATTACTCACCCTCATGTTGTTCTAAACCCGTAAGACCTCTGTTCATCTTCGGAACACAAATTAAGATATTTTTGATTAATTCTGACAGCTCTTTGACCTTCCCATAGACAGCAATGTAATTACCACGATCAAGGTCCAGCAACATAGCAAGAAGATCGGTAAAATAATCCATGTGACATCAGGGGTTCAACCGTAATTTTACGCGTGACGCAGCTGACACAGAATAGCATACGCTGTTTATGTTCAGTGGATACTCTCCAAAATGGCACTACAGTGATGCGGAGGAGACGAATAGTTGAATAAAGTCGTTATTTTTGTTTTCTTTGCGTACAAAAAGTATTCTCGTAGCTTCGTAAAATTACGGTTAAACCCCTGATGTCATATGGATTATTTTACCGATCTCCTTACTACGTTTCTGGACGTTGATTGTGGTAATTACATTGCTGTCTATGGAGGGTCAGAGCTCTCAGAATTCATAAAAAATATCTTAATTTGTGTTGCGAAGATGAACGAAGGTCTTACGGGTTTAGAACGACATGAGGGTGAGTAATTAATGACAGACTTTTCATTTTTGGGAGAACTAACCCTTTAAAACACTCAATCCAGTGCACTTCAGAGTTCAGACTATTTTACTTAATGATAACTGGCCGTAAGTGTGAAGCTCACCAAAAAAATGTGTCTGTTTGAGTGCAAGACGTGAGAGAGAGCTCAAAGCAGGATTCACACGCTCCAGATCTCACTTCTTGCACTGGAATATTTCAATTGGTGATGATATAAAAATGTGCAAACGGCAAACTTTCGTGACGACGCAGCACTGGCCCGATCAGGACAGTAGTTCTGTCAACTGTCCCGAGCATCGTTCACGCTGGCCACAGGCCATCCGGCAGTCTCTATTATCAAGCCCTGCATATATTTTGTACAGAATTCATTTTGTTTTGGCAAACATTTTTTGCAAGGCTTTACAACACACATTCTGGGGTTAGTGTTTATTAGATTTCCATTTACATTTTTAGTGGCTTGTAAAATGGAGACAAAAATGTCACTAATGTGTGTTGGGGCCTGAGCTCAGAGCTGAGCAACTGTATTTCTTCAGCTTTCCCTCCATCTGCTTCTAACACACATCTATTCATCAGAGACATCAGTGACCAGCCATAGAAAGATGAACTGATTAACACTAGCAATATGCAGAACTACACATTTTTTTCTTCAACTAATACTTGAATTATGAAGAAAGTCCTGTATAATGGCTACATCATGTATATCACCAGACCCTGATCAGACATATTTCAAAGGGACATATGGACACTTCATCCAGTCTTTTAATGGTAGAACTGTATATTCAACAAATAGACTAAATAACTATAAACCTTTATTGTCTGAAACGCTAACAATTTACTTGAAGCCTTTATGTATAACACATTATAATTATTCATAATGTACATTGTAATGCATTATATCTTTTCATAAATTAATGTAATCAAAGTCAAAAAGCATACTATTTACAGCTTCCTCGTTACATCTGAAATTAGATGTTTGTCATGTGTTTCAATTAAGGCTGGGCAAGTTAACGCGTTATTATCGCGTTAACACATTACTTAAGTAACGCCGACAATTATTTTATCGTGCATTAACACAATTTTATTATTATTATTTTGAAAGTCCGTTGCTCACTGGCTCTGAATACAGATACAGACAAACCATGGGTCACAGCAATGCGATTAATCGCGATTAATCTCAGAAAAATCATGTGGTTAATCGCGATTTTAAAAAAGATGTAATCGTTGCCCAGCACTACTTTCAATGCATTATACTTTCTGATGAAATAGACAAGTATTATAATGTTTTATATCTCTGGTTACAATTATTCACAAGATTAAAAAGATTAAAGATTATTATTATAATAATAATACAAGGTGCTTTACAAAGCATTAATTCCGCATTAAAATGACTTTTCTAAAGCATTTAAAAAGAGTAAAGTGATACCTAATGATCAAAGACCAAAACAACCAATTTCACTGATGTCATACTCCTTAAAAAGCACCTCATGTAACAAAAGCACAAACCATACAAAACACTGACTCACTCTACACACACACAAACACACACACACACACACACACACACACACACACACACACACACACACACACTTCACATACTGAGCTGTATGGAGTATATTTATGATCAGCAGGGGGAGAAATAAGAGCTCAGATGATGTGAGTGAATCTAGGACACAACACAAAACAAACATGCACACACGCACACACATAAAGACACCAACCCGTCACAGGCCACCAATTTACTGTGACCTTACACTATGATACGATAAAGCAGACTAAAAGCACAGAGGCGAATAAGCAGCTCTACAGGAGAAGAGGAGCGCTGATGGTCAGAATGAAGAGGAGTCTTTGGTTTCAGGCTGCTCTGTCTCTCTGGGATTGTGGGTAAATGTGGAAAATCAGAGACACATCAAAAGCAGGTTAAGGACGGCGCAGGCTGTGCAGAACCACTAAAGATTACAGCCAATCACATGGCTGTGAACGGCCAACAAACGCTCTCAAAGTTTTTTTTACTTGCTTGCTTTTTTTGCATCTCTTTGCAACTTCTATAAAACCAAAAATAACTGAAAACTAAACTTGATAATCAACCATTCTGACCCATTTCTAGTTTAATAACCTTTGAGACACAACTTAAAATTCAACTTTCCTGCCTAATTTAATTGCACAAATAAAATTAACACTGCAAGTCTATATATAACAAACCCATACAATCTAAAAATAAGTCATGTAACTCAAATTATTTTACTTCAAGCACACATTAAAAAATGACATACATACATAAAAAGGCCCTATTGCAATTTGTGCTTTTCCTATCCACAATTTCAGGACTTCTTGAAAATATAAAGGTTTTTGTTATACCATTTAAGATAACACTTTTTAAGGACCTGCAGAATCTCCGGTGGCACATTTAGCCCTTTTTTTATTTTTACAAAGAGAACCATGTGTGTGAGGAGCAAAGTCTTAGAAAATGTAAAATACTTTCAGGTTAAAATCATATTTAAAGCAAAGGTTCTTTAAATACAGGACCAGCAAAGATCACAGAAGAACACTTATTTTAATGCTGTTCTTTTATTATATTTGTTGAGCTATTCTTATCACAATGCCTGGTTTCCATATCAAAAACCATATCGAGAATTTTCCAAAATGGGTCACACACACTGTGAGGTTGTGGCATGGCATGATCTGTGTCAGAGTCAAGGCACAACAGCAGTCGACAAGTCCCTCAAAGCTCTGATAATCTCCAGCATTAACCGCATGAGAATGATTGACAGCTGCAGGTGCCTCGGCACAGGTGTGTATGTATGTGTCCATTACCTTGACGGCGAAGCTGCATTTGCCCTCGCGTACGGCCTCCTCGTCTGTCTGCCACTGGTGCGGCCGGCTGGACTCTGGCACATAAACGTCTTTCTTTCGCCGGAAACTCTGCCGTAGCTTATTCATCGCTTAGCCTCCTCCTGCAGACGTTTCAGACAGATGAAACAGACAGACATCTGATTATCTGCTCCATTGATGATTGAAAATGCCAAAACTATTGGAAAAAGTAAAACAAAACAATAAATACAGATTATTTCACAGACAAAGTATCAAAACTTCAGAAGTCAATACCAGCACCAGTATAGCGCTCAGATACCATATTGAGAGATTACTAGAAACGGCAAAAACACTCGCATCGTTACCTTACATTTTTAGCATCTCCTTGGTACTGAATAGACTAAATATCTTTTTAGTGTTCAACAGCTGAAAGAAATTCACAAAGGTTTGGAACAACAAGGTTAATAAATGACAACATTTTCAATTTTGGGTGAACAATCCCTTTAAGGAACTTACAGTATTTTCACAAAGAAATGAATAAAAACATGGATAAAAAGGAAAACACTGTAAAGTAAAAAGTAAACAATGTAAATCACACAAACAGTACATGCGTTTGTATGCAAGCTTCAAATGCAGAGGATCTAACGGCTGGATTCGAGTATTGGCTTCCTCAGCGCTGTCAAAATAAAAGTCCCACGGACAACAAAAAAACTACGCTTTGTATAGATGTAGCTGTGTAGAAGCAAGGAGTTTTTCATTTCTCTGTCTACTTATCACACACTCGCGAACACAAAAGTGAACAAGATCCGAGCGGCGTTCACCCCTGAATGCGCCAGCACACACACACACACAAATGTGTGGAGTCACGCAGTGCTGAGTCACATCAGAGCCACTGCAGTCAGTCAGTCAGTCAGTCACCTGCAGAGCCAGACAGCAGACACACACACACACAGCACAAGTTCCAGAGAGAGCAGCACAGAAACAGGCTGAAGATTCATTGCCTTTTACACTCCACAGAAGCTCAGATTTCAACAGTATACCGTGACGCTCATTTGAATGAGCCAGGAGAGACACATAACCACACACACACACACACACACACACACACAGTTTTCAACACCAAAGATAGTAAGAAATGTTTCTTGAGCAGTAAATCAGTATATTAGAATGATTTCTGAATGATCATGTGACACTGAAGACTGGAGTAATGATGCTGAAAATTCAGCTTTGATCACTGGAATAAATTACATTTTAAAATATGTTACAACAGAAAACCGTTATTTTAAATTGTAATAATATTTCACTATTTTTACTGTATTTTTTAACTAAATAAACAGTCTTGGTGAGCAGAAGAGAAGTCTATCAAAAACTGACTGCAGACTTTTGAATGGTATTGTATATAAACCTCGACGCTTCGCGAGCAGCAGTTCCTCTTTCGTCACACAGAAATTCTTTCTCAGTCTGAAAATGCAGAGTAGCAGAAGAAATGCAGAGGAAAAAATGTTACTAAACAGAAAAGCTTAGCGCGCGCGCGCGCGTGTGTGTGTGTGTGCGCGCATGTGACATCAAACGGCCGGACCTGTGCCAATGAGTTAATCTACAGTCAGAGGACAGAAACTGTGAGAAACACACAAGAAAGCAGCACAGAGGAAGAGGAGAGAGAGAGAATCCTTCATAAAGCTCAAGTTCAGCAGCTTTCCTCCGCTCGTCTGTATTTAGGTCAGAGTGACTGCAGGCCGCGGGTGAAGCTCTGTCCCTGATGCTGCGGAGGAGACGATGAAAAACACCACTCCACAGATTTCTGCCACAACTCATCACTGAAATCTTCTCTCTGCTGACATCACTCTCTCCATTCGGGTTCAGTCTGAAGCTCTGTTCACACTGACAGTGATCGTATCTCTGGAGTAGGGGTCGACCGATTATCGGCCTGGCCGATTATTGGCGCCGATACCCAGCTAACCAATCACAGTACATTTCGTATTTCAGAAGGCAGGCCTTCATTTGATACAGGAACTATTCGAGCCGTTCATGCCAGACTGGGGAGAGAGGTGTTGTAATTAGGGGTCGACCGATTATCGGTGCCGATATTAAGCATTTTTATGATTATCGGTATCGGTCATTTTCAAAACCGATTCACCGATAAAATAACTTCATTTTGAAATGCGCTATTTGGCTCTGATGCAGCCTGTCAGAACTCACCACTCTGTGGCCTAAAGCAGTCTCCGCCCACCGCTCATCTGATTGGTTGGGAGTCATGAGTCCGACCAATCAATGATGAATTCACTCTCACTCCGAAAGCGCTTGCTAACTGGAGCTGCTTCAGTGATCACGCATCAGTTGTCTCTCAATAAGCCGCAAAAATACTATTTAAATATGGATCCAGCATGTTCTGCGTGTCTCTGTGTATGTAAATGGCACAGACCAGCGGTTTTGTTGTCTGCACATACAAAGTGCGCGATGCTCGCAGTGATTTCAGCTTCTGTCGTCTCGCGCGTTTTTGAACGAATCTACTGAGTCAGTGATTCATGATTACCCATTCATAAAGACAGTCACTTGCTTCATTCTGTTCAAACGAATCAATTGAATGAATGATTCAGTGATAAAAATCCGTGATTTGCCGCCACCTGCTGGCAGTTTCAGTTTCATTTTTAGGTACAATTGCAGTTATTTAAATCATTTAATATTTCTGTATTCAAAATTTATTTAAAACATTAATCTCCACATGAATTTATGAATTTAATTGCACTCATGCCACCTCTGAGCCTCACT